CCGGCTGCTCGCAGGGAGAGAGGGCAGCGTGTCCCTGCAGAACTCCAGCCTGGATGGGGAGGGTGGGGCAGGGAGAAGGGAAGGGTGCAGCTCCCAGGGGCTGCTGAGTCGGCAGAAAACTGAGCAAGGTGAGTCATGAGGTGCAGGCAGCAGGAATTTCCTGCACTGCTTTAAGACATGCATGGCAGGCACGGGGTGGAGAAGGGAGCTCCGGGACCAAATGCTTGGCTCTACAGAACCTCTCCTGGTGGAAGACTGGATGTCACCTTTCCTGTACCTCAGGCCTGTTTAATTTCTCTCCTCTCTTTATAGGCCCTTCTTGCTGTTTTGAAGTGCTTTGTTTGTGTACTGTATATCACAGTACTATAATGCTGATCAAAGTTAGGGAAAAAACCTCAAGAAACCTGCTTTACATACATCTGGTGATCTCACCTAAGTGTCCTTCAAGAAAACCCCACAAAACAGCAAAATTGTTGTGAATCAAGAAAAGAAGAAACTACTTGTGTGGAGTGTGCTTGTTCCTGATGCTGCTGTCAGTGTGAATGCCCTGCACCCTGGTGTTCCTGAGGTAAGAGAATAAAATCTTCATTTCTTCTCCCTGCTCTGCTGCGTCTACAAGTTGTTTGTTCTTGAACTAATGGTCCTGCTTGGACTTTGCCTGTGAATAGGATTCTACTGGTTTATCTACAGGCTTTTTAAAATTTTATTTTGTTATTTTGTGCTTTGTTGATTCCTGAACACAAATGTCTGAGCTTTAAAGCATCGTTGTAAGGTGGACTGAGCATACCAGAAACCCTTGGTGTGAGCGACAGAGTAACATCCACCCGCAAAGCCCAAGTGAATGATGTGTTTTTAATCCAAAAGATTTCCTAATTGGAGTCTCCTCCTTTGAGCTTTTATCACAGCATTCAAATGTAAATGATTTAGATGCTTTTGCGAGTTGCAGAATCACCTGTTCTCTGACAGATCCCTTTCAAGAGGTTTGAAAAGTCAAAAAACCTTGGAGAAAAAGGCAATGTAGCTTCGGTAAGCTGTGTGGGTTTGTAGAGAGAAATAATCACTGCTGCTTGCACTTGGTCAGGACTTTATGACAGCACTCAAGGGCCGAGCCTGGACACAGAATTTTGTGCCTTTGAAAACCTGAGAGCAGGACACCAAGAGATCATCACAGGGTTTTTCTTCTCTGAGTGCCGGCTGCAGGAGTGACCCCGATAAATGCCCAGTGATTTCCGTCAGAAAATAGAAATATCCTGAGGTTTCCTCCCCTGACCCTCTCTGAATACACAAATTACCTAACGAGCTGGCTTAGGAGAGGGGAAAGGGGCAGGTGGAATCGCCCTGCTCCTTTCAGTGCAAACACAAGGAGTCTGTGCGGGCACACAGCACCTCCAAAATCCCAGAGGGACCGGGGGAAAAAAGGACATTGGTGGCCCTGAGCACCCAGCAGAGCCATCAGGACAATTTACACCGGAGCTCTTTGTGATCACTTTACTCCCCTCTGTCCCATATTCATCGTTCGGGAAAGGGGTCTTTTACCGAAGCCCTTCATGTATTTTTGTTTTCTCATGATTTGATACCTCTCTGATTCTGTCCCTTGCTGAATGCAGAAGGGCATCAGTGGGTAACAGAGACATCGGAATTATTTCAGTTCCTGCCGTTCCTGGACTGAATCCGAGCGTGGCTTATGTTTAAAATGTCACACCTCGTGTTTAATCAGAGCAGGGACTGCAACACCCAGTGGGACCCCCACGGCTGCCCCAGCAGAGAGCAGAGCACAGCACACACTGACCAGGCACAACAGGGAACACAAACTCAGGGTTTGGGGACTGTTCTGGAGTCAGGAGACCTGCAATACACATCTTGCACAGATGAGAAACAGCATTGCAGCTGTTCTTGTCTTTTTTTCCCCCTCTTTTTTTTTTTTTTTTTTTAAGCATTCTTAGCATTTCCACTTTCTAGCTGAGGCTGGCTTCAAGAAATCTGAGGAGCTATCATCACTTTTTCATTGTTGCTGGTTTCCAAAATTTGCTTATGCTAGTCTGCAGGCAAAATATGTTATTGGTTTGTTTTCAGAGATTAATTCAATGTTGAGTCCCCCGGCCCCTGTGGCAGTTCCAGTGCTGTGGGTCTCTATTTCGATGCTGCTCCACCACAGCTTGTTCTTGTTTCTGCTCACAACTACATCTGTGGATGGGCTGGGAGCCATTCCCAGCTATGCAGCTTTTTGGAGCACCTTGTCCAGATTTTAATCCTGTGCACTTCTCCTGGGATCTGGGATCTCTGTGGACATGCCAGATATGCCTGCTGTAATTGGGGTTGGTGATGCTCTTCCTCAAGTGCAGAAGGGACAGTGCTTTTCTGGGCTGAGTTGTGGTTCTGTGTTTTGCAGTTTGTTTTTAAACTTAACTACCACGGCTTCACGATTTTTGTTTGAAATGTGGCAAGCTCTGTAAGCATTGGCTAAAGACTGACAGATGTAAGATATTTAAAATTCACATGGAATAGCATTTTATTACTTTTGATTTATTTACCTTTGTTTGAATAGCTTTCAATTTCATCTCTCCAATAATTTGTGAAACTACCTTTTATCTCTGGGTTCAGATTCTGCCTTTCTGTTCTACTGCAAATCCCCATCCTATGTACTTTATAGTAAACTTTATCCCATTTTGCATGATCATTAAATGACCTTAATTTTCAAACTCTGTTCTGAAGGCTTCTGTGTGATTGACAGCCATCCTGTTGAGATTTCACCTTTCCCCTTTTATACATCCATAATTTTAGATTGGGTATTGGGCAGGAATTGTTCCCTGGCAGGGTGGGCAGGGCTGGCACAGGGTGCCCAGAGCAGCTGTGGCTGCCCCTGGATCCCTGGCAGTGTCCCAGGCCAGGCTGGATGGGGCTTGGAGCAGCCTGGGACAGTGGAAGGTGTCCCTGCCATGGCAGGGGTTTGGAATGAGATGATCTTTAAGGTCACACTTCCAACCCAATCCCATCTGTGATATTCCACAGTTGGTCACACAACTTTTCCCCGGGAGCCAGGAAGATTCTTCCCTGCCAATGGAGGTTTACTCTCCCTCCTCACTGCACGGAGCGCGTTCGTCAGTGGCGCAGGAACCCTTTATTCCCGGTGTCCCCTTTTTTTCCCGGTGTCCCCTTTTTTTCCCGGTGTCCCCCTTTTTTTCCCGGTCCCTTTTCCCGGTGTCTCTCCCGGAGCCGTGCTGTGGCTCTGGTGTCCGGGTGTTTCCCGCAGCCCTTTCCGAGGAGCTGGGCTCTCCCATTCCGTGCGCTCCGAGTGTCCCGTTCCCGCCCGGTGCCCGTGGGAGGACCCGCAGTGCCCGGTGCCACCGGAGCGATCCCGGTGCCACCGGAGCGATCCTGGCCCCGCCCGAGCCACCCAGCTCCGGCAGCGCCAGCCGGGAATGTCCGTGCCCCGCTGCGGGACACCGGTCCTGCCGGGATCTGTCCTGCAGCGAGCCGGGGGGACCGGGAGCGCTTCATCCCCGCCGCACGGCCCGCTATCCGTGGGAACCGGGATGCCCGGGGGACTCGAACCGGGATGCTCGGGGGATTCCAGCCGGGATCCTTTGAGAATTCCAGCCGGGATGCCCGGGGGACCCGAACCGGGATCCTTGGAGAATTCCAGCCGGGATGCCCGGGGGACCCGAACCGGGATCCTTGGAGAATTCCAGCCGGGATGCCCGGGGGATTCCAGCCGGCATCTCCGGGGGTTTCAAGGCGAGATCCTTGTTGAATTCCAGCGGGGCTCCCTGGGGGATTCCCGGCGGGATGGTTCCCCGGCAGACTCAAGCCGGGATCCCTTCTCGCCGGGGGCGGTGGCCGCCGCCGCTCCGCCCTCTTTCCCGCGTTGTTTGTCCCCAGGCGCGCTCCGTAGCGCGTGCGGCGGCGGCGGCACGAGCCGGGCCCCGCCCCGCCCCTCCCCGCCGGCGCGGGTGCGCGAGGAGGGCGAGGGAAAAGGAGGGGGGGCGCGCGGGGCCCGCGGGAGCGCGCACCGGCCGCGCGGGCGCGCACGGGCCGCGCGCTCACGCCCCCGCCGTGCGCACTCCCGCGGCCGGCCCCGCGCGCGCGGCAGCGACTCGCAGGCGCCATGGCGGCCGCTCGCTGCAGCGACATGGCGGAGCCCCAGCGGCGCCTTCCCGGGCAGGCGGCGCCCGCCGAGGAGGAGGAGGAGGCGGAGGTGGCGGCGGCGGAGGTGGCGGCCGCCGCCGGCGGCGGGGCTGGATCCTCCTCGTCGTCGTCGTCGTCGCCGCCGCCGCCGCCGCCTTCGTCCGCGGCGGAGCCGGAGCCGCTGCTGCTGCTGAACGGCGAGGCGGAGAGCATGTCGGAGCCGAGCCCGGAGAGCGCCAGCCAGGCCGGGGACGGGGAGGACGAGGACGAGGAGGAGGAAGAGGAGGAGGAGGAGGAAGAGGAGGAGGAGGGCGGCGAGGAGGAGGAGAGCAGCCTGGTGGGCAGCAGCAGCAGCAGCACGAGCAGCGGCTGCTGCAGCGACGAGACCCGCTCGCCGAGCCCCGGCGGCGGCAGCGAGGCCGACGCCAAGGAGGAGCCCAAGGGCCCCCGGGGCAGCCAGGAGGACGGGCCGGGCCGCGGCGGCGGCGGCGGGGGCGGCAGCAGCTCCAGCAGCGTGTCCAGCGGCGGCGACGAGGGATACGGCACCGGCCCCGGCACGGGCGGCGGCAGCAGCTGCGGCAGCGCCACGTCGGGGGGCCGGCGGGGCAGCCTGGAGATGTCGTCGGACGGGGAGCCCCTCAGCCGCATGGACTCGGAGGACAGGTCAGTGTCCGGCCGCGCCCCCGCCTCGGCAGCCCCCGTTCCCCGGGCGCCGCCCCGCTCCGGGCCGCGGGGCCGGCGCGGCAGCCACAGGTTTGTGCGGCCAACTTGTGCCGGGCCCCCGCCCTGCCGCTCGGGCCTGCCTGCGGAGGAGGGGGCCGGGAGAGCCCCGAGCGGCCCCGCCGGGCGCTGCCTCCTCCTCCTCCTCCTCCTGCGGGGCCTCTTTCCTCGGAAGCTGCGGATTTTTCTCAGATGGTGCTCTCGGGGCTCTCCGGGGCTGTGCCTTGGCCAGCGCGCAGGTGGGGTGCACTGAAGCTTCGGGATGGGAAATGCGTCTCTGGATGCGGTTTTACCTGCCCCCGCAACACGGGCTGTGCTCTAGAGGGAGAAAAACCGGGTGAAAAGCTCTTAAAACGTGACGGGGAAAAAAAAAGCGAGTTTACTAAAATAAAAAGGAGACCAGCCTTTCCTGCATTACGCGTGCACAAGTAATAATCGTGCACAGTGTGAAGTGAGGCTCAAAGCTCAGCATTTGGAGGCTCAAAGTCATCTTGGAGTGAGTTCTGTAATTGTGAATTACAGAATCTGTAAAGATGGGTTCTTGAGCTTTTGTACGTTCGAGCTACACATTTCGTTTTATCAAGATTCTGGCTCGATTCTGGTGAAAAGGCACGACCGAATTCTCACACATGGTTGAATTCTACCATTCAGGTCTGTTTCACCCTACTAAGTCAAGCATTTCAAAGAACGTGGCTTATGTAGTAGCTGTGGATGTTGTATGCGACAGTTGACTTGAAAAACTGAAAATAGGATGGAAAAAGGATGTAAAAGCAGTGTGCAAGTGCTGTGTGCCTCTTACTAATTAGACCTTTCGAATAGTTTAAGAAACTTGTACAATTTTCCCTCTATGTTTAGCAGAAAAAGTATCGGACTTCCCTGCTAGAGTAGTTCCAGTTAAGTAACAATTAGAATTTTATTTGTATTTTCTTAAGATAGTTTCAATGTTAAGTGTGGAGAATTACGTGGTTTGGTCCAGAAACGTACTGTGAATATGTGTTCGATCAAAATCTTTGTAACTGTACAAACACCCATATTTCAGAATGAAAATGGGCCATGACTAGACCTAACCTCGAAGATTAAAACCAGCCCAGCAAACCCCTCGTGAGTCAGAGTTCCCCAAAATCATGTAATTGGCCTAAACGTCTTAAGAAGACAGAAAAGAATCCAGGTTTTTGGTTTCCATCAGACTTTTGAGACTCACAGAAGTCCCATTTTCTTTCTCCCAAACTAATGCAAGTGGAAAGGGGGTGTGGATGTTGGCGTTTGTTTGTAGGTTTCGTTTGTTTCTTGTTTTTTTTCAAAAGCTGAGATTTTATGAGCAATTGACTAAGGATGGTAGTAGACTTCTGGAAAAACACCAGGTACATAAAGGAGCTTTAAGAGAACAGTTTCTTGTTTTTCATAGAACGAAAGTCGAAATCTAATCCAAATGATCTTATCCAAGTGTGTGTCTGGGGTGAGGAAATAACAGAAATAACTCGCAGGGGTTTTCTGGTGGTAGCATCATTATGCCCTGTGCACTCCAGAGCTGGTTGCTACTTTCTTTCTGTGTCATTGTTCTCGTGGTCCTCTGGCTGTACACGGTTAAATCCACGTGAGTGGGTCCTTGCTCCTTCCCCTGCCACCAGTACAGGCTCTCTTGGAGGAGTGGGACTCTTTGTGTTCTGTGCCTTGTTTTTAATCCTTGCAAAGTTTTATCGTGACCTGCCAGGATGCAAACTTAGGGTGTTGAGAGTTCGTTTTGTGCTCTAATTCTAAGGCTTGCTTGTGGAATTGGTGGGAGAAGAGCAACGCTACCGAGAGTGCCATTTGTCATTCCTGGTGTTGGGAAATTTCGTTCGGTGTGCACTCTTTGCTGCAGCGTGTTAGAATGTTTCATGATTTTCGTCACATGTAGTCCAGCATGTTGCTTGCTTGACATTGTGATCCAAATGATTGCTGCTGCTTGGAAGGCAGCCACAACATAATCGTGTGCCTTTCAGATGATCTCACAGACAAGCAGAGTGTTGCAAAGGGTAGGGGATGTGCTGAAGAGTTGGAGTGTGTAAATTGGAATAGTGAAATACCAAGGAAGAGCTGGAAACATTTTGGACTTAAGGGCGGAGGCACAGGTATATAATAATACATTGAAATCCTGAAAAAATTCATCATTCATTGATTTGGTCGCCTCTGAATTCAAGTGTAAGTTCTGTGACTATTAGAGAATTTTGTCTATGAAGTGTTGTTTTGTATGGGATAGTTTATTGTACAATGCTTGGTGGCCTTTGCTGGCTCCCTGTGTCCCCCACGTCCCGAGGAGCTCGGTGTCTGACTCTCCCTGTGCTGTAAAGTAAGATTCCCTGGGGAGAGAATGGAGAGGAAAGGGAAGAGATGGAAGTGAGAGGCTTGACTTTGCAGAGCTTGGCTTTAGCCAGAGGAAGCTGCTATAGGAGAGTGTACCTGGTAAAGACTCTCCTCCTGTCAGCAGGTTTGGTAACATTCAGATCATGCCCCTGGGCTTGGGATTTTTTTTCTTGCTTCCTCTTCAGAAAATTTGAATGAATAAAAGGGTGTGGTAGGAGGGCCTGAATTCCATGAGCGATCAAATTCCCATTTCCTTGTGCATGTTCTTTATCATTCTCCACGTTATGTTATCTCTGATTTTTCCTTTCGTGATATCAAACACAAGCGAAGCAGAGGAAGAGGAAAGTCTTGCATATGGTAAAAGTACAGCTACTGTTCAGCAACTTCTATTTTTAACATTTTAGTGTTTTTTGGGCGTATCTGCTGACAGAAAAAATAATTTGTAGGAAATTTGTTAGTATTTATAATAACAGGAGAAATAAAAATAAAGGTGACTGTCAGTGCCCTGAAATTTAGGATTCAGGAATTTTAACTCTCCATTTCCGTGCACACAGATAGATTTTATACTTTGTTACAACGTATTTATCTTCCCTCCCAAGAAACCCAGAAAGGAAAAAGCGAACCCCAGATTGATACTTAGCTAGGATAAATAACCAAGGTAACATTTTCAGCTCAGCAGGAGAGCTCCGTGCAGCCCCTCCAGGACTGACAGGTATCTCGTTGATCTGTAGTACTTCCATGTTTTCCCTGGGAATTCTGCTAAGTTCCCACTGCTATGAAGGAGTTTGTGTGTGATTTGTGAGCAGGCTCAGATCAGCTGGCTGAGTAAGAATAGTCTGCATTGAAACCTAGTGATCCTCTGGATTTACAGTTGGAACAAAGACTATTATCAGCACGTGAATGCTGCTCATTTTCATGTGGCTTTCCCCAAGTTGAGCCCTGTGCTGAAAGGATGGATGTGTTCCTCCAGAATCCTCTTGCTGCAGTGCTGAGAAACATTTGACAGGACTTGAAAAGAAAAAAATAATGGATCAGTTAACTGTAAACACTGAAGCTGGACCTAAGCAAATGCGTGGATTTGGGTATAAACCAGCTGAGCTGAGAGCAGTGGAGATGCATCTGCAGCTCCCTGGTGTTGTTATTGCTGAATTGTGGCATTTTCTTACAGACACTTAGTTTATTGAAATAATTTAAATGTTGTTTACTGGAACGCTTATTATGGAAATATATTTAAATCTGAAATAGTTTCATCGTCAGATTTTGTTGGATTTAGAAAACACTGGTAGGTCTTGCAGTTTTAAAGAAGTTACTGAGCAGAAATTTGAGTAGTAAATCTGTATGAAGAGCTTTTCTGTTCATCCCTGTGAATTTGTCTTGTATCTTTGTACTGTCACCTAGCAGTTAGCCCTGGTTTGCTGTTCTTACATTATCTTTACCCCTCTTAGCAGTTTATCCTTTGCTCCCTCCTGCTCCTGGCTGGGCATGGAGCATGGACAGGCTGCAGGATGAGCTGTGCTGACTGGTGTGCTGCTAGGCCGAGTGTAACAGGTTGTCTTTGCACCTATGTAGTGATTTTTCCCTTAGGCACAGACTAAATCATGTCCCTCTTACTCACAGGCACTTTTCATGGAACTTGTAAGACTTTATTTTCTTTTTTTTTTTTTCTTTTCACTTGGTTTTTTTTTGGGTGGGGGGTAACCTTTCCATGTTTTTTGTTATTCACCAACAAGTGAGTTTATTGAGAGGCCCTGCCTCAAGGAATACTCAATGATAATTTGTGTTCTTTACCACATAAGACTCATAAGACTTGCAAAGTACTTCTAGAAACGTTTCTGTTATTATTCTGTTCCTGTTTAATAGATGAGCAGTTTTGAAAACGCATTTCAGATAAGTTTTTCAGTAATAAACTTGTTTGTGCTTCAGATTGTGAAGTTTTTTCATTTTACTGAGTGAAATGACAGTGTGGAACTCATGGATTGAAAGAGAAGAGCTTTAGACATGAAAATTCCAGGCTCTAGTCTGAGTGTTTTTAAATCTCATGTAAAATTAAGGCCTTGTCAACCTTTAAGACCTGCTGATTTAAAAATACTAGTTTTAATTATAATAAGTCTTTTAATTATAAAAAGTCTTTATTTTGTCTATCTTTTAAAATCTTAAAAGTGGAGAACTTTCACGATTGACTTGGCAGTGGCACGTAAGTTGTAAGAGTGACATTTATAAAGGCAGAACAATAAATTTGAGATATAATATGGAGGACATGTGGTACTAATAGGTGTGTTTCATGGGTCCATGTGACCAGATTAAAAAGTGCTTCAGGCCTCTCTTTGCTGTGTAACCTCACTTGTTCCTATGCAGGAAGTGAAGAATTCTTCATTAGCACTTATGGCAAGGTGGTTAAGTCGTTAAATTTTTTTTTTTTTTTTGAGTGTGTGTAATATTGCCATTTCACAGTGAGCTATACAGAAGTTTACCCAAGTTTCAGAAATTCTGCTGAAAATTGTATTTGCAGTATTTCTAACTGCATTTATTGTTGCTGTAGTTATTTGCTTTCAAATTGCAAAATAAACCCCTTGTTTCGGTAATGGTTATGTTCAGGCCTT